TATATATATATATATATAGTACATAAATGCTTAGGTCAGTTTTCTTTGTAACTTATAGGATCTTCAACAAGTGAATGGTTGGCATACTGTAGTACATCCATATCATGAAACATTACTGAGCAATAAAAAGGAATGAACCAATTGATACATGCAAAAACCTGAATGAATCATGAGATAACGATTTTGAGTTAAAAAAAAATCTCCAGGGCCCTCCCTGGTGGCCCAGCGGGTTAAAGCATAGCACTGAGAAGCTAAAGCCACTTCATCATGAGTTTGATCCCCACCTCAGAGGTGGGGATAAATAAATAAATAAATAAATCTTAAAAAAAAATCTGCAAAGATTATATACTATGATTCTGTTTTTATAACTTTTAAAAAATATTTATTTATGCATACAGAACTGGGGTACAGGCCAGAGATGCGGAGGGTGAGAGGACTCACCAGGGACAGAGCAGGGTACAGAACAGGCAGATTGACAAGTACACTGCTGAGGGGAGCAGCGGGTGTGTCAGGAGAGGTCTGCCCAGCCATGTGGATCTCCTCCCCGGCAGGCAGGCGGGACCGAACTCATGCGGAAGTGGCTCAAGCCTCTTTGTGCTGTGCTTTAACCCGCTGTGCCACCAGGAAGGGCCATTATAACATTTTTTTTTTTTTGAATGCCAAGACTAAAGAACTGTGGAACAGATTAGTGGTTTTCCAGGAATTAAAGATAGAATGAAAGAAGAGCAGGGACAGGGAAGTGAGTATGACTATAAGGGACAACTCGAGTTATCCTTGTGGTGATGGAAAATGTTGTGTGTGACTGTTTCCATGTCAATAGGTTACCTATAATATTGTATATAGTTTTGCAAGATGTTGCTTTTGGGAAAACTGAGTAAATGGCACGTAGGTTCTTTCTATATACTTTTTTAGGCTGAAATAATTATGCTGATTAACTAGATACTGAGGTAAATAAGAATAGGCCCAAAAATGAAGGTATTCATTAGGATTATATATAATCAATAAGATATTTTTGTGACTATTTTCCACTCTAATTTTCATATTTGAGGGTGGAAGTGAGATATTGGAGAGAATCTAAAGAGAATATATCTTAAAAAGTTAAACTGTAACCTACATGGTATATAGAGGAGCATGAATGAGTGAAAACTGTTTACCCTGATTAGTGTGACTGACAGTTTCAATTATTGAAAAGTGTATTTAAATAGACATTGTTTCTTCAGTATCAGCAACACTTCTTTCATTCTTACCCATCAAATTCAGCTTAATTTCTGCCTCAGCTGTGAAGTTCTTCTTGATTCTCTGAAATTCTACTGACTTTTTCCCCTTAGGAACTGATAGACTTGAATCAATGAGATTTATAATAGTTTATATATAATAGTTAATAATAGTTAATATAATAGTTTATTTTTACATCATTTTGTACATTTTCCCATCTCAGTTGTAATCCTCTTGGGCTTCCCAACATCAAATCACCCATGTGCCATCACCATAGTCCAGTGCATTTTCCTCCCCTCACTGTTTTTGATTCCATTGCCCTAAAAACTCCACCCCCATAAAATGTCTTTGGTATATAGCTGTTCATTATATTGTTATTTTCTTGCCTGGTCCGTTATACTCCTGCTATGAGTGAAACCATCCAGTATTTTTCACTAAGCATGATCTTTTCCAGCCCCATCCATGTTGCTGCAAAAGGCATGTGTTTATTTTCTTTTTGGTTGCTGAGTAATATTCCATTGTGTATATGTACCACATCTTTTTAATCCAGTCCTCCACTTTGGGGCATTTGGGTTGATTTCATGTCTTTCCTATTGTAAATAAAGCAATAATGAACATGGGGGTGCAAGTATCTTTTGGAATCAGAGTTTTTGTGTCTTTTGGGTAGATACCTACAAGTGGGATTGCTGGATCATATGGAAGCCCCATTGTTAGCAGTTTGAGAAACCTCCAAACAGCTTTCAATAGTGGTTGTACCAGTTTTCATTCCCACCAGCAGTGCAGGAGAGTCCCTTTTTTTCTACATCCTTGCCAACATTTGTCATTGCTAGTTGTTTTAAGAAGTGCCATTCTCACTGGTGTGAGGTGGTATCTCTCAATGACATTTATTTTAACAAAGTAATCTCATCCATCTTAATGTTTTCTGATGAAAGCTATTTGACCTACATGGGAATGAATATTTCCTGAGTTGGGTTCATGTTGCCCTAATACTATTGTGAAACTCATTTATATGAAGCTTGTATCAAATGCCCTCTCAGCTGCTTGCATCTTGCATCTCTAAACTCAATTATTTCATGGGTTGACATGTACTTCCACACAGTGATATTTAATATTACTTTTTAACCTATCACTTGTTTCCCTCAGAGAACAGTAATTTTCTTAGGCAGCAATGAGTATTAGGGGTGATAAGTATCCATGATCTTTGTTGACTTAATGAACTTACTACTAAAATTTTCAGAGAAGAAAGAACTCTGACATAAGACATTTGCTATTCAACAACAGTAAAAGAGAAGCAGGCATGAGAACAGGCATGGTAAGCCCTTAAATCCAAGACATGAATGATGGTCATGGAATCTTTACTGCTCCCAGTTCATGAATGCCAGAGAGCCATCTGTCCAATATATGTGTATAACTGCCTGGAAGCTGATGACCAAGTTCACTATGACCCACTGTTTTCGTCTCTGGGTGTATCATCGTAGATTCATGGGATTCTTGGCTTCATTCTCCAAGAAAAAGAAAGCTGCCTTCATTTTCCCACTTAAATTTCAGTTACTGTGAAATTAGCCATGACTGTCTTTTGCCAGTAAAACCCATGAAAAGATAGTAGACTCTGGAGTGATAAAGGCCTCCTTTACTGGCATCTGTGTTGCCATTCCTCATGTGTTTTCTAACTCATGCGTGATGTCTGAGTAAGTTCGAATGAAACCATATTTATTATGTTCTCTGTTCTTTTAAATAACAAAACAGATCACTGTGTTGTTATACAGATGTGTTGTGGGTAGAGCGCCAACTCTTAGGAGCCTGCAAAGTCTCGCCTGCTTTCCTGAGAGAGTGTGAGAGGTGCGAATGACATTTAAAGGAAGTTTCTTGAATGTCTTGTGTTGGATTTTGCATGTGCTACACCCGCGTGATTGCTTTGTGCAAGATGTTGTTGGACTGTTCCATGTAAAAATTCATGTCATGTTAATTAATTTCACAGGGAAACCAACATTAAAGTCCGTCATGCACTATCAGTTACCTCCGAACTCGGAGAAGAAATGAACAGACTTGCAAAGTTTGATGGTAAGTACTTAAAACAGACAAACAAACAGCTCTATGCTAAAAAATAATGCAACACACTAAGTCCATCTGAAAGCCAATTTGTGTGTGTGTGTTTGTGTGTGTGTGTTAATTTGGTGGAAAGATGTAAAATTCTCCAGGCAGCAAAGCTTGTAATCTCTTCTCATGCTCAAGAGTAAAAAGTTTACCAAGGAGAAAAGGGCTTTATCAGTTCACGGTTTAGTTGACCCTTGTTTTCTCTTGTTTGAATCACATCCCCTCTTGTTCCACAATACATTTCTCTTGCCCGACCTTGGCCTCTCTGGAGCCTGGTGCAAGTTTGCTGAGGATGAATACAGACCACTCTTATTTCTAGCTCTACATTTAACCATCCATTCATTCTTGTTCATTCTTGGTTTACATAACAAAAGAGCAAACCCTAGACTGCAAACTTTACAGAGAAAGTGGTCCTGCCTCCTGTATTTCCATATCTCTCATCCTGTGTAGTGTAATGTCTTAAAGATAGCAGTGTTCAGGATGAATCTTCCAGTTTATAAGCAAATGTTTACACAAAAAAGTTCTCCAGTTTGAAATTTAAGTCAGCAGCACAGCCAGGAAACTTTGAATGGCCCAAAAATATTTTGATTAGCTTCGAACAAATTGCATATTTTCTACTAAGTAATTTTTTTTCAATGAATTTTACTGTTATGTGAATCCAAGAAAAGTAAATTGTGCCCATAAATCATAATACTTGCTTAAAATACCTCATAGAATATTTATGGAGTCCCAAAAGGGCAACCTAGATATAATTTATCTTTACTCATTTCTTTCCTGGCAGAATCATTGGCTATCCCTTTATCAATCTGTGAGGAAGGAAAAATTCATATTTTTTAGTTTTATTTAACATTACAAAGCAGAAAGTGATTGCTATAATTTGTAGATACTTGCCCCAAGAACGTGGGCCATGAATTAGTCACACACATCCTTGAAATATTAATGATATTAACAGTGACAGCTGAATTCTTGTCCACATTACATTCTGTGGTGGGTCTGGTGGCCTGCTACATCAGGTAGCCATGGCCTCTCAGGACAGCACACCTGAGAGTAAAAATGAGAAGAAAGAGACACATTTTTTCCTCACACATTTCTTTAACAGCATGAGTCACATGGACTGACCTACTTACAAGAGAGCCTGGGAAATAACAAGTATAGGTATTTGCTGAGTAATAGTTGTCTCTCCCATACCCTTTAGGAATTAGGTCAATGCCTAATAGAAGAATGTAGAAAACTCCAGGCTGCAATAGGTAGATTTCTTATATGGAACAAAAGGAATATATCCCCCTCATATGCTCAAGCACCCTACACTGACTGACATTTTCTTTTCATAGCACCTATCACCATTTGGTCTATTCTGTAACTTACCAATTTCCTACCTTTATTATCTATTGTCCATCTCTTCATGTTGCAATGTAAGCTGCACAGCAATCTTTGCTTTGCTCCCTGAGAGACACCAAGCTCCTAGCACACTGCTTAACACACAGTGGCACTCTATAAATACTTGTTGAATGAATGAAAACTTGCCAGTGCCATAGGGAGGGGAGTAGGTTCTGCACCAGATCCTAGATAAAGAGATAGGGAATGGAGTGTGAAACATTGTGGTGAGGCAGAGCTTCCTGATGGGTCTGGTAGGGCAAAGCAAGAGTGTTGGGCCCCTGCTCCTAGTGGGCAGGTGGCTGGAAAAGGGACCGTCGGGTATAGTGGTTTTTTAATGCCTTTTCTTTAGGATTTTCTAAAGATAAAAACACACAAGTCCAAGATTTAAACCAATCCAAGTAGTGCTGCCAGAGAACACTTCCTCATCTAAAACCATTCCTTTATTACAGATGAGCTTTTCTGAAAGGGTAAAAAACTTGTTTATATATAAAAGTAGTCATTTAAAGTATCTTATAAAATTTATTTTTTCAGTACATTACTATTTATTATTTATTAGGGGGAGGTCTGAATTTGCTTTACACAGCATAGGTAACTTACTAAATCTCTAATGTGTAATTGTTTTTCCAAATAAAGTTAAGATAGACCTCTTTTCAATCATTTACACTTAAACTGTGGTCACTTTTCAGAGAACATGTAATGTCAAATTCATGAGGCTGGTATATTAGTGGGCCCAAAATCAAATTTCTGCTACATTTACTCTTTCATTCATAAATCTTGGGTTGAATTTCAATTTACCTTAAAGTTGAAGACACTATAATGTTTTGTGAAGTTAGTTTAATTAAAATATGATTTCCTGTTTTCAAGAAAGCATCTGAAGAATGACTAGAAGGATTAAGGAGGAATAAAGTTAATATAATATACAAATTAGATTTTCCCTATTGGCAGCCAAATTTAAAGACTGAAAGGGTGATGCAAGATGTGGTGTGGAAAAGTATTTGAAAGAATTGGGACAGTTAACAGATACTTAATCCTCCCCACAATCACTCTTGCTTTTCTATAGTTTTCAGCTTTTCTTCAACTCTCTTACCAAGTCCTAGTTCACTGGCTTTCATTTCAACTTCTCTGTCTGACACACGCACTCACAGACCACACACTACGTACACACATATGTATACACACACATTTTCTATCCCATTGCACCAAATCTTCTCAAGCAAGTCTTTTTTTGTTTTCTTTTTGCTATTTTCCATCCCTTTCTCCTATGGTGACTTACTTAGTGTTCTCACATACATGTGTCTTTTTCTGTTCTTCTCTACTTTCATGTTTTTATCACTCCATATTAATCAGTTTCAATTTCTTCATAAGAACAAGATGCAACAGCATATATATGTGGAATTAGAAAAGATCTCCACATGTATTCTCAGAATTATTTTGATTTTCTTACCCCTTACCCCCATTTTTACCTACCTTCCCTTTTTGTCTTCCCTGTTTACTTCTGTCATAATGGGGTGGCAACAGATATCAGGTTTTCCTATGGTGACCAGAAAACACTTGCTTGAGTCATGGGAATTAAAACCAGATATTGCATCCTTCATTTAATTACAAGTGTGGTCCCAGCGTTGTTTACACTTGCCCTTCCTCACCATGGCAAGGTTAGCAGATGAGGCAGATGTGGGAGGCAAGGAGGCACTGCCTCTCTCGTGCTCTGCCTGTACTAAGATTATCTTGTAGCTTGTGACTTCTGGGAAAATCTGGGTATGACATTATTTTTGCTTCTAGTTACCCTGTGGTTTTTCTTCTGAGACTTGCCTGAATTCGTTCTTAAGCACCAAACTACAGTTTTCTGTGCTAGTAACATAAGTGTCCATTCTAAGAGCGTGTTCTATGTATATATAGATCTGAGGTTCCCATTCCTATCCCTGGAGAGATCTTTTGGGGACTCTACAAGGGGGACATCAACAGCCAAAAATGAATACTGAATACAGCAAATGAATATTGAACACAATGCCAAGGGCTTTGCTAAGCTCGAGGATATAGTGATTAGTAAGTTGGTTTCAAGGCTTTGTTTTCAAAGAGTTTATAGCAGAGGGAACAATCATCTCAGTGTTCTTTCCAAAAATGTCTTTATTTAGGTAAAAGTCTGAAATTCATAGGCCTTCAATGTGGTTGATATACAAAGTATTTACTATGTACCAGGCACTATAGAAAGTAATTGTACATTTTGTCTTATCAAATCTTTACAGTCATGGGTGGAAGAGATTGTTGTTATCTCTAACCTATAGGCAAGGAATCTAAGACCCATATAAGTTGAATGACTTTCTCAATCCAATGTTATATGGTTACTAAATACAGGAGCCAGAGTATGAACATGGGGCTATTGGTAAAATCTACCTTATGAGAGGACTCTAGGGACTCTAAACCATGAGCAAAAAGCAGTTATGGTGAGTTAGGGCATTATCATGACAGCTTAGTTCTGGTCAGGTAGGAAAAACATTTTATGGATACTGTAAACCTCCAGGTGCAAAATTAATCACCAGAGATGAAAGCCATCCAGGACTCAGGTGACAGCATTTTTAAAAGTAGCAATGGTCTCAGTCATCTTGAATGTCAGAATCCCTGACAAGAATTTATAGAGTCGCTGACCAGAGAGACTAGTACATGCAAAATAGTGTTGAGTTCTGGTAGGTAAACCCACTTATTTGAAAAGTTCTCATGTAAACATTTTTAAATTTTGGACATCAGAAAAAAATTGATATGTAATGTGGCAAATTTTGTAAGAAAGTTATGATTTGATACTATAATATATTTGATTCGATACTATAATAAATATAAAAATAGTAGGTCTTGGTTTTTCATGTTAAAATCTTACCAGAATCAGAGTTTTTAAAATAAGTAACTGAAAATAGTTGTCGATTAATTCATTTGAAAACTAGACATGCTCAAGTTTGAGGAAAGTCCCGGATGTAAATTGTTCGAATGTGTTTAAGAATCTTTTTTTTTCCTTTTTTTTTTTTCAGGCTTTTTTTTTTTTTTTTAAGATTTATTTATTTGTGCATCCAGAACTGGGGTACAGGCCAGAGGCTCAGGGGAGGTGAGAGGCTTCACCAGAGACAGAGTGGGGAGCAGAACAGGCAGATCGAGGAGGTACACTGCTGAGGGGAGCAGCGGGTGGGTCAGGAGAGGTCTGCCACACCATGTGGTCACCTCCGGGGCAGGCGGGAATCGAACTCATGCTGAAGTGGCTTTAGATTCTCAGTGCAGTGCTTTAACCCGCTGCACCACCAGGGAGGGCCAAGAATCTTTTTTTTTCTTTTTGCATATTGTTACTGACTGGACTGAGATCTGTTTTTTGCAACTTATGACAAGTTTACATATTTTGTATGACTGTTAATACTGAATTCTGAACCAGGAAAAGGTTGACTATTTCAGGAATCTTTGTGTATTTTGTGGTCCTTTCTAAAGAATAGCATGTGTGTAATTAAAGCACAGAAAAGCAAGCATCTCTTTTTGGTTAAAAAGAAAACAAAAGTACTTGGTTAGCATCTTGTGACTTTTTTTTTAACTTACCAGAAGGGTTCCCCTTTACCTGGACATAGGTGAATGTATAGCTAATGTATCTGTACAGGACATCAATTCCATGTAAGGACAGGAAGAATTGCTTCTCTCTTTACTCCTGGTGTTGATGTGGTCATTATAGTGGTGATGATGGGTGGCTGAGGCTTGATGGTTGAGGAGAAAAGAAACCTTGGATAATATGAAGGTGAACCCTCTTCTTAATGAAACCTATATGATCACAATTGCCAGGGCTATATTTCTAAACCAGTCTTTTAAACCAAAATGTGCTTGACTGGAGAAGCTCTTGAAAAGCAGTAAGGATGTCTTATCCAATAGATCATTTTTTTTTTAATTGACAGGTTTCAAGTTAGATAGACAGGAAGTATTGTTAATGATTAAATACATAAAGAACGCTAACAGATCATGAAAATCATGGACTACTGAATACTGGGTCCCATTTTCATGATACACTACAAATTTTCATGTTAAGGTTAATACTAATATTTCAGTTTGAGAAGGGTTATGAATCTTGTAATTAGTCAAATATACAGCTGAATTTAGAGTGCTAAGGAAGATCCAGATGAAATCTTGTACATTTCAGAGATTTGTTGTGTATGGGGGTAGAGTATTTGGGTTCTTGTAAACTGTATGAATTGCAATCTGCTTTCACATCTGTTTTCCTCAAAGGAGCAAACAAAAGGGAGGGATTCTAGCTAGTTTGATTATATTTTAGTAAAAATATTGCCATGATATGATATTTTTCTTAGTTCTTTCATTGCCCACTAAAGATGGCTTTGTGAACTAAATGTTTTTAGTGAATAACCATCTGAGATGCCATCTCATTTTTCTTCATTCATTGTCAAGCTGTTTACTGCCTCTCTCTTCCCTGTACAATCTACAAAAGGAAAAATGACCGAAGTATTTTCTCTAGTCTACTTTATATCTTTATGGTTGTTTCTAAGGTGCTTTAGGGTTTCCACCTTTATTCAGTGTTCTCAGTTCTAGTTGCAGCCCCTTAGAGTTAGGCCAACATAAGCCCTTTATTATAATCCCATTTACCACTATAACCGTGGACATATACCCATTTCTTTAATTCATCTTAGATCTTCACTAATACTCATCTCCCAGCATTCTCTTGAAGTCATCCGAAAACTTTCCCATCCATCTCTCTGACATATTTCCTAAGATCCTGCTATGTAAACAGTATGGTGGTTTGTGGGGACACAGATATGAATACAGTGCTCTCTGCAGAGGGCCTTGTTTACCGCTTTGGAAAGCGGCAGAAAAGAAATTGGGACACTTGTGTTTTATACTAACAATGTTAAGGAAGGGGAAGCTGAGTACTTCTGAAGATTAAAAAAAATGTAGCTTGGCTTTGTTCCTGCCATTTTGTTTTGACGGGGCCTTCTATTTAGCACTTAAGACACTGGGATCACACTCGTCGACAAAGGCTGAATCGGGGTTTGGCCTCCAAGAACTGAGGCAGAACCCCTTGGCCTTCTTGCCTGTTCCTGTCTAAAACCACACCCTTGGTGTCAGGCCAGAGTGGATAAGCCTTGGGGCCAGGGAGGAGCAAATCAACATGTTCAAGGCTGTATTTGCCTACATGTCAGTCTTTGCTTGCGACAATAAAAAATGATCAAATGAGCCTGTTTTTTATATTCCTATTGGCAGGGAGTGTGTATCATGTTGTTTTTGCCCAAAACACATTTTTTTCCCCCTACTTGCCAAGTCTGAAGCCTGAGAAATTGAGTCTTGGGTCAAGAAACTAGAATAAGCTGTAAGGGTTGCTGTCAACCTATTATTTTATGTAGGTTTTATTGGTGATACTCAACCCCAGGTTCTGTGTAATTCAGGAGTGAATGTTATTTGTCAAGACAAACACATACTAAATTCTTGCAATTTAAGAAAAAAATCTCTTCCGCAACATAATTTCCAAACAACTTGGCCCAGTTGAATCTGTTTTAATTTACCTTTTACTATCAGTGATAGGCTATATCAGAATTTAGCCACTTTCCAGTTGTATAAAAGTAACCTTTTATAGGTGCTTTGGCCTCATCCACATCCTCTTGTCAGTATTCTCACTTAGCAGTGATATCTGGGAACCTGCTAAAGAGTAACCCAGGAGGGGGTCTTGAGGTGGTAATTTTGTTAAACCAGAGAAAGGGAGGAGGAGGTTGGAAAAGATCTCCTAGGGCTTGAGGCCCTCATTCCTTACACAGTTTTGTTTGTTCTTGTTTTTTTTTTTTTTTTTTTTTTGTGCAAGTCTTGTAAAGTCAGTAATCTGGTTGGTCAGGGATGTTCAGGCCATGTGAAACTGCTTGCTGTTACCTGTGTCTAAAGTTAGAAGAAAGGCAGCATCCTGGAAGGACGGGAGCCCCTGCCCATCTTGAAGTTTGGAAGGTGCTTGGGGAGTGGTGCAGGGGTGTGATACAGAGGTACAGAGGTTGTCCAGGCTGACCTGTTCTCTTTCCCTTTCCGTCAAAGCTAAAGCCATGCTTTCTCTCTTTATTTCCCAAATGCCACTTTTTACTTTCCAGCCTTTGACTACTAATTATATAAATGTATACTTACTGTTTTTGAAAGAGAATTTTGTAGATTATTTGACCTCTGACTCTGCCTTGATCCCTGCTTGGATCTACTAACAACCTTGCTTTTCATTCCTCTCTCTCTCTTTTCCTTGTTTCCCTCTGTCTTTCAGTCACTCATTATTTATAAAAATTTAACCCTGACCTTTGCTGTGCAAATGTATCCTAATCTAATAGTTACATTTTGTAATGGATTCATATGAGATTATTTCTGGTTTCTTTTTCTATCAAGAAAACCCCCACCCTGAAAGTGCATTTTCTTATTGAAATAATGGAACGAATTGATTCATTGATTTGGAATGGGTATGCTCTTGGTTTGGAATGGGCTTGGCATTTAAAGAAAAAAAACTCAACAAAAAACTTGAAACATCTTCTGGCCAGTTTGGGGCAGGTTATGTGGAGCCTTTGAGAGTCCCCTGAACTCTGAATCTAATCAAGATAAGAAGCATGGAACAGCTGAAAAGAATCACACGCATTCTCAGGCACATGTGGCAAACAAGGCCCAGGTTTCTTCAGGGTGCACTAGAGTAGGACCCCTGAAATTCTGAGTATGAGCTTAGAAGACCTGATTGTGGTTGTGAAACCGGAGGTCTGTGCCACATTGACTGAGTAAAAGTTCACATGAAACCAAAAGAGACAGATGAAAAATAATTCTAGGACCATCCTGTCTATGCAAAAATCATTTGTTTCAACCTCCAGGAGTGAAAAGTGATTTCATTTAAGGTGAAAACATCCCATGATGCTTGAGGTTTCTGCTCTTCTTGGGACATTGCAGAAAGGTATGGCTGAGAACACTCGATGGATTCCCATCCTTGTGTCCTGGCTGCTTTTCCCCTAGCAGGTGAACTACAGATTTACGTCCAGAGCTGTCTCAAAGAGAGAGAAAAATATACTGTGTTTTACAAGTTGGTAGTAACACGATGCTGTGGACTTGAGATTTCAAATTGAGTCATTATGAATTTTGGTTCTTTGTTCATTTCTGTTTTACAGGGATTGTTGTCTGCGAGGCACCAAACAACAAATTACATAAATTCACGGGTGTCCTCTCTTGGAAGGACAGCAAGCACAACCTCAACAATGAGAAGATGATCCTGAGGGGCTGTGTCCTGAGAAACACCAGCTGGTGTTTCGGAATGGTTATTTTTGCAGGTACACCTGATGGCCCAGGGTCAGTTTTGGGAGAGCCTTTCCTGAAATATGTATCAGCAGAGTCTGGGGCTCTGGAGGTACACAGATTTGGGTGAGGGCCTACTCTGGGTGTTTGCTGTGGGCAGGGCATCAGGCGATGACACCATTGCTAAAAAAAAAAAAAAAAAAAAGCCTGTGTGGCCCCACTTTTTGAGGAACATCTAATATCATCAACTTCTCCTTCAAGATGTTTTTTCCTTAATTACCTGTAGGGACTAAATACCTACTGCTTGTTTTCTGTGTGTGTGTGTGTGTCTGTGTGTTTTAGTCCCATCTCAATCATCCCCATTATTGTCTGAACTGATCTACCTGTCCTTAAAGTAGGGGAAGAGTATGAAAGAAAATATCCCCACTTCTGCTATTAATTTTGTAATTTGCAAAGGTCCGGCAGCCTTTAAACCTTTTTGTAGTTCCTGTTTACACTTGATAGCTTTTTCTACTGTTTGTTAATAGGATCGTGAATCCTGGGAAGACCAGAACAGGAAAGGAGACAATGGCCACCTTTATCTCTGCAGGTCCAAGGGGACACTCTCTTGCTAAGGAAACTTACAGTAGCACCATTTCATACAGCTACTCAAATTGTACTCATGGCTCCAATTGCCAGCCCTTGATTTTTAAAAATCCTGTTTATTGTGACACCAAATTAAGATGTGTTTTGGGCTCGTTGACTATATGTGCAATCAAAACGGGAATGTTTTTCTTAACTGATTTTCCTCAACAACAACAAAGTGTTCATTAAAGACTGAAAAATGTTCCAAGCCTAGAAAAGTCCTCCAATTCCTCTTAAACACTCTCAGCTGTGGGTGTTAGCAAGTCTCTGGCTGCTTTGGGGCATTGCCATTGTAAGGACTTGGGGAATCCCTAGAAATGTGACTGTATATGTGCTTTTATCTAAGGTCAATCTGATTCCACAATTCTCTCATCAGATGCTTTAATCAGAGAAGTAAACCTAGGATCATGTAGTTCCTTACTTGCTTCTTTCTTGCATTGAGAAAAAGAGAACTAACTAATACATCAACCTACCTTTACCTTTCAATTTAGTGAAAGAGAATTTACTTGAAAGTCCTGTGATAGGCAGTATCTTCCTTGTTTGTTCCCTGTCATCAAAGAAATAGGGTGCATCATCCTAGGAATAGGCAGTAGCCCAAAATTTTGTTTGCATATGTGTGATCTTATTTGAAATGACTAAGTCAGGCCTATGGTTTGATGATAGCATGTTTTGCTAGGACAGATGCTGTGGGCCACTCAGGGGCCAAGTTTTTCTTCATCAGATTGGCTAATGGGAAAATGGTCCCATTTTCCTACATGGAAAAGAAGTAGGATAGTATGTTGAAAGGTCTCCCTCCAAGGAAGTATAATAGAAAGTGCACAAATTTATATTAGGCCAATCTGGCTTCAGATTTGTTTACCAGCTGTAGGATATTAAGTCTTGGTTATTTAAACTTTCTAAACTGTAGTTTCTTGACTGTAATATGGGGATAATAATGAGTCCATTAGAGTTCCATTGTAAAGACTCAATGAGATAATGCATATGGAAGATGTTTGACAAGTGGTGTTTTCCTTTCTTCTTTGCTTCTCCCTTCCTTCATCATCTATTCAGAGTTTATTGCCTACTCCACAGGCTGTGAGTTAACACTCTCTGGATCTTGGCAAGGGGCATGAGGGGGACACTCTCTTCTTTGGTGATGTAGCCTGCAGGTTCACTTGCCAGGACCTGCAGGAGGCAGATATGTGTAAAGTGGACCATGCCTATGTTGATTTTAGTTTGGGCACAAATGTTAATAGAAAGCTTACCTAGAATAAGACTAGGCAGAGGAATTAGTGGTTGGTTTTGTGAATGTCCGATTTGAACAGATGGGTGTTTCAAATCCCCTTAGTCTTGAGACATTTACTTTGGAGAACTAGTTCCAAGTGAACAACTAGCTGTTATGAAAGTTATCCAAAATGAATTAATTTTCTTTCTGTGTTTATACTTACCATTAAGGATTGTGCAAGGATTATAGTTGACCTACCATGAAGGATTGTGTAAGAACTATAGTTGATCTACCATTAAGGATTGTGCAAGGAATGTAGTTGACACAGACATGGTTTAATTTACAAATCTATAATTTATGAGGGTCTGATGTATATTAGCTAGGTCATACCTCCCTGGTAGTAACATTTCCTTTGTGCGCAAGAAAGAAGAAAGCCTTATTTCTGAGGGTAGAAGTCTCATTCATTTACAGAGTCCATGGGAGTCAGCACCATCTTGGTGGTAACTAGGCTTTTGTGCTGGATATCTTCCATGTGCCTCGTAAATCTTCTCTCCTTCCTTCCTACTCTTCTGTCGGCCTTGGAAAGCTGACTTGTGTGGTTTTCATTAATAGGTTTCCTTGAACTTTGATTTCTAAGTGGATTCTGTTATTGGGACTCCATGGGAAGAAATGAAAGGGAAATGTAGATTGAGATGAAGGTATTTTTCCAGGCTGCTTCCTTGTATGGTCACTTCAGACTGGCTCAGCAAAAGGGCAGTCTTCCCCTAAAGGATACAAACTCTACATATATCTGTTCTTTAGTATACAGTAACTACATCCTTCCCTTTCTCCCTCCCTCTGGCTTATGTGAAAAAACTTCTTGATTGCTGCTAAGTCCCTGATTACAGCACTAACCCTTTGCTTTCCCTTAGCTACACCCACAATTTTGTGAATTTTTATGAATAAATTTCCCTTCAATTATTCTTGTCCAATGCATCATCTATTTTTTTTTTGTTAAACTCTTAAGAGTCAGTATTTAATACACATTTATGATTTCAGGAAATGAACTATTTCATATGTTTTAAAAAATATTAAAACTATACTAGTAGGAACTTTAGACTTGGACTTTAGACTTAGGTATGTGTAGGTTCAAATTCTGGCTTTCACACTTACTAAAGAATAAATCTCAGGCAAATTATTAGAGTTCTTTAACCTTGGTTTAATTTTTAGTGAAGTAAGGATAAAAATATTTTTTCCAGTTTTAAATATTAGCTGAAACAAAAAAGTATATATACACATTGCCTAATTAATGCTGATTAATTAAGTCATTAGACAATTATTTGTTACCACGGAGGAGAGAGAGATGGATATGTCACTGGAGACATGGATGGGAGCTGGGCCATGCAAGACTTTGCGTTCTATATCCAGAATTTTGATCTTTAGCCTAAGAGCTTTGGAATGCAGTTGCAAATTTTCCAAACAGGTGATGTGTATGCATGTGTGAAATTTGATAGCTCTACTCTTGCCTATATTGTTAAGGTAGAAAATGGACAGCAGATTTTGGAAAGAGTATATGATTGGGAAGGACGTGGGAAAGGAGAAAAATTATTGAATGGAATTAGTGGCAGATTAGAAGCAAAGAGACAGTTATTGTGCTTTTATTGTAGACAGTTGAGAGATGATGGCACTTTGGATGGGGTGGGGGGAAGTCATGGAGGCTCTCTGGTTTCTCCCAGCTTTCATACATGGGCTGACAGTGGGACCAGTCACAAAGGTAAAGAACATTGGAGGAAGGTCACAAGCTGGGGCAAACAGGTGCAACTTGAGGGTTTAGAAAGATCCAGGTGGAGATGTCACATAGGAATTAAATAAATGGGTTTAAAATGTATGTGTTTAGAGCTCAGAGAAGCATGGAGAACAGGAGATATACATTTGCCCTGCAGATGGTTCTTGGAACTATGGTCTTAAGTGAGATTTCCAAGAGTGGTTGGATTGAGAGAGAAGAGAAGATCACCAAATATTGAATTCCAGTATTTAGTGACTGGATAGAGAGGGGTGAGCTTCATGGGATATAAAGAAGCTAACTAAGAGGTAGAAGGAAAATTAGGAGAACATTGCAACACAGAAGCTAAGGGAAGAGTATGCATCAAAAGGATAGAATAGTTAACAGTGTCAGAGGTTTCAGAGACATGAGAGAAGGTGTGGAGGATACTGAATACACCAGATTTGGTGGAATGATTGACTCAGAAACTAGGTCAAGAGATGAAGCAGTGATAAGGAAATAGGGACTGTTGAATATAGAAAAATTTCAAAATCTGTATCTATGAGGAGAAAGATTTGTGTATAAGCATCTATAGAAATAGCTAAATAAATGTTTAAAAAGTCCTCTAAGGGAGTAATTTGCTGGTGTATGTGTTTGGATGCTTCACAAAAGTATGTTTTTAGCATAGAACTCTCAATATTTTATCATCTAGCAGTCACAAACTTTATCTAATGCTCATTGTGATCTTTATTATAAAAGAAACATTTCCCACCCTCAATGTCCATATGATTTTAATAACTGATTTTGAGAAACTGTGGGTGGTTTCCTTTATCTAGCTGTGGCTGGGAATGATAGACTTGAGTACAATTTCCAACTCAAGGCTATGAACTGTTACAAGACCCCAATCATATATTTTATTGTTCCCCAATTCAATTTGTCTTTTAGGTAAATAGAAGTCTTTTGATTTTCAGAATTACTTATAATTTCATGTGTGCCTCCCTCCTCACCTTTCTTTCATTTCCCCTCTTCTCCTATATTAAATATTTATAGGAAATCAGTGTGAGAAGAGACAGTAAAAAGTCATATACAATTAAAGCTTAGGTGTTTCTATTGAGCATCTTCTCTGTCCTCAAGGAATTTTTCTTAACAATATGTCCCCATCCTCTTCATTGTTAATCATTTAATAACCTACCTCTAAAATAGTTAATAATCTCAGAATTCTTTGAACAGGAAATTAAGTAAGTAGATAATGAAATAATGCATTTATCTTAATTGTCTAATACAAGCCTTAAAGTAATTATTGTCCTAATAAATAGTATATATTCTATACAGTGTGTGGTATATATTAAAGTTTTAAATTATTTGTTAATATATTTTGCAATTACTCTAGCTTCTTTACTAAAGGTACCTCAAATATTTTTGGGAAGTAGATCCCAAATTTGATTTCTAGTAGTAACTTTTCATTTTGACCTTAATGGTTTACATTGTACTTATTGCATTCTTTTTATCATTTTAAGTTATTCCTCACTTTTATTAAGTTCATCTTTAACTGCTTCAAACTACAAGCATGAAGCATGTTCATACACAGATTTTTGAAAAATAGTGTTAATCAACCTTTCAGCTACAAGTTTTTTCTGGATTTCTGTTATTCTAAAGAGAACAGTTTCCAAGAGTGCTGTAAACCACCAATTGTGAAAATGTATAACTTAATTGTCTTTGCTTTTAATAAAAATTTTAATATTTAAAAATCATATTAACCTATTTTTTCCTTTCAGGAATATTTGATCTAAGTATAAATCAAAATAATCAAAATAATAATAATAAATAAAATAATCCATTTCAAAGTTATTAATTCTTTTCTTTTGCAGGTCCTGACACCAAACTAATGCAGAACAGTGGTAAAACAAAGCTTAAAAGGACAAACATTGACAAGTTGCTGCATACTCTAGTATTGTGGGTAAGTTAAAAAATTAGGCAATATCAGTACTCACTCTTATTCTAAAATTTTTCTTTCAGAAATCTGTAAAATTCTCTGTAATGTTTGTGTTTGGGGTGTTTGTAACTTGTGTCCATGTCTCAACCATTGTTAGAATTTCTCACAAGAAATAGCTTAGTGCTTATATTTCAAAGTATAGTAAATTCCACATAGTTGAGGGATTTCTATGTTTTCAATAGTTGAGGGATTTTTTTTTCCCCTTGAAAAACAAAGCATAATTTAAAAGTCAGTTTTGGGGTCTTTTTAGGTCTTATTTTTCTTTGCTCATTTCCTCTCTACATAGTTCATGGGGAGCATTGGCTTCATAGGTGGATACAATGTTCATAAGTGAAAAAGAAGTGCCTCACATTTGACTTACAGATATGTCTTGCTCTATGGAATTAACACTTCTGAACAGGGTTCCTGCATTTATAGTAGGCCCTGAAAATTATGTAACCTGATTTTGCTGATGAATTATTTGAAGTTCAAGCCACATTTTCTCCTTCATGAAAATGTCTAAGCCTCCTATTCCATGTTCGTATTTCCTCTGAAAGTGTAACAATTATATTTAATAATTTACCACTTGTTTACCAAAAACCACTCAGGTATTGATTGCATCCCATCCTTATCAGTTAATCTTGTCACCTCCTGATAGCAATCTGATTGTTACCAGACTTTTTGTCCAAATGTATAGCCTCACCTTATATGGGGGTTAACTTTGAAGACAGTGACTCAGAGCTATGTTTCCCTACTTGCCAACCACAGGCTCAGTAAAAGCAGAGTTTGAAGTAAATAGGTATTTTCTTAACTGACATATAATAGTGGATCTCTGAAAAAGGGAAGAAAGAAACAAACACCATTAGACACAAAATAATGACTGGACTCTGTGTTATATTACCAGAATCACCCCCAGGTGTGAGCTTTCCTCCAGCTTCACCTGTTCTCTTGGGAAAGAGTTCATGGGGCAAAGGGACATGCCCAGTAGATGTGAACCCATTTGTAGACTTGCATGGGGATTGTATGTTTATCTACCAAGAGTAAAATTACCAGTGTGAAGCAGAGATTGTCCCAGCTTTATGTACTAGAAAATAGGATGATCTATTGAAGATATGAGAGACAAATCTATCCTTAAATTAGTATCACTAATGTGAGTGCTGCTAATGTAGTTCAGTTCAATATACTTAGAGTATCAGTTGTTGAAAGGGTATAGTATAAAATTGTTAGTATTTTGGGGATTTACAAGTCTACTTTTCTCCCTCACACAATTTTCTGAAATACTTTAAACCAGAATCTCCCAACTTTGTCTTCTTATGTGCCTATTTTATTTATTAGAGAAGAAAGGATAAAGCAATCTGAAAATTTATGAATATTCTTTTTTTTTTTCTGTATAAAAACCAAGTAGGAGGGAAGTGTGTTCCTGTTCTCTCGCCCCACTGCTCCTCTGCAGTGGTTGCTCTGCTCCTCACTCATGGTGACACTTAGGGACATCTGCAGAGCATTGTGGCTGGCTCAGGTCTTACACACACCCTGAGTGTGTGTCCTTCCTTCCCTGGGCTGGGGTTCTGGGCTCCTTAGGGACACCCTTGCTATTTTTCTACTTGTTTTACCTTCACAGTGTCTGTTTTCTAATACTAATATTAATCATAAAGTAGGAGTCAGCTACCAGGTTTTAGACTGCTCTATTTTTTTTAAGATTTATTTATTTATGCATACAGAACTGGGGTACAGGCCAGAGGTGCATGGGTGGTAAGAGGCTTCACCAAAGACAGAGTGGGGAGCAGAACAGGCTGACTGATGAAGTACACTGCTGAGGGGAGCAGTGTCAGGAGAGATCTGCCATGCCATGTGGGTCACCTCCCGGGGCAGGGATTGAGCTCATGCTGAAGTGGCTTTAGCTTCTTAGTGCTACATTTACCAGCTGTGCCACCAGGGAGGGCACTGCTCTCTATATTTTTTAATCTCAAAAGGAAAATGTATATGTCATGAAATCTTTCATCTTTTTGGTTGATCTGAAGTAAGGATTGTTTAGCAAGCTGAGACTTGACTTGATAGAGACTGAATTAGTTCTATAAAACTATTTCAGCTTTTTGCCTGGGGTGATCACATACATCATGATTCAAACAAGGCATAATTTGGAAGGTGAAGGGAAGAAACACAATATCACATATTAGATAATAGATGTAAGCTGGGCTGGAGTGTAACAAACCAAGATATATACTCTTCTTGACTCAAGTCATTTAAATATGCACATTCATGATTTCAAATTATTAGTATTGTGACCACAGAGTAGTTATATAGTGTTTCTCTACTTCCATTTTACTTTTTTTGTTTTGACATGTGAAGTGTGAAAATAGTTATTCCTATTTCAGTCAGTGAGAGAGTTAAGGGAGAAATTGTATGTAAAATACTTAGCTAAGTTCTTTGACATAAGAATGTTAAATTTTACTCATATGATTACTGACAGGTAAGGAGAACTTTGCATAATTTGCTTTTCAAATGTCAATTTATTTGTGTTAGGAGTGTAATTGGATTGCATTGATATGTCTAGTTTTGGGTTCTAGTTAACTTTAACCAATCTTACATTCTCATTTCAGATTTTTGGGTTTCTTGTATGCTTGGGGATTATTCCTGCAATAGGAAACTCAATCTGGGAGACTAAAGTCGGGGACAAATTCAGCATTTTCCTCCAGAGAAGGGACTCTGTGATCTCAGGAGTCTTAACATTCTGGTCATATATTATTATTCTCAACACAGTTGTACCCATTTCATTATATGTGAGGTAAGATGAGAGTTTATATTTTAGTCATTGCATCAAAATTCTTTGTTTTGTGAAATCATTTTTGTTGATTTTCATGTTAAAACAATACAATAGACATCTTGTACTGTTTATAATCCACTACATCTGTTACAAATGAAGCAACTAAACTGTTTAATTTGTTTAATGTTTACATTTTCAAATTATAATAAAGTGTATTTTATGTTCTTTATTCAATTCAGTTTTGTAGGAATGTTTTTCTTTGGGGTATGTAGACTACAGTATAATCTCATACAAGTTGATCAGTAGAATTGTGTTGATGTTGGGTAAGAGATGTAATATTTGGGGAGATCTATAAGGATGATGTCTCTTGTTACTAGTCTGGCTCCAGATACCAGATTCAGATACTGTTCTACCACTTACTAATTCCATAACTTTGGTCACGTTACTTTAGCTCCCAGTGCCTCAGTTTACTCATTTAAAAAATGGGAAACTTAATAGGATTGTGTGAAGAGTAATAAAATGTCGATAAAGCTCTTAGAAGAATGCCTAAAACATTGTATTAATAAGGGCTTAAGGAATATCATTTTCCCACTGTTACTAACTTTGAGTACATAAATGAATTAAGATATAGCTGGGGTGCTCGTCCACTGTTAAATATGATGCATGATGCATAACTCCCACTACAACTTGATGTCATTTTTACATTTGGTCTTACAAACCCACATTAAATGGTATCTCTTTTGTATAATACAAGTATATAAATCTTTCTGTGTTTATGTGTGTGTGATAAAGCTTGGAAATTGGCCTGGGATCTGTACCTGAGTCATTCTTGGTTCTAATCCTATGAAGAGTAAGGCAGACAATTCAAAAGACACTGGAGCCAAGATAGGTCTTGGTTGTTTGACATTCCTCATCACCAGTATTTTAACAATACACAAAATCACCAACTCTAAATCCTCACTAATTTTTACAAGCTCCTTTTTCTTTCTTTCCCAAGTTCTAGCTATGATGAATCAAGGGAAGTTTAATGCACAAAATCCACCCTTGTTTTGGATAGTGGTCAGGAAATTGAAATGTCAAGTTGTGGGAAATTGACTTGAAGTAGTGGCATGTGGCCACAACACCACAAATTGCTCTGGGCCTTCTGAAGCTGTGGTCAGAATGGGCTCTATTTAAACTGTATCCTACTGGCTCATCTTTGATTCTGAGGACCTCTCATGCTTGTATCCAATTATAACGTCTGTAGTAAATCCTACTCTTTGCCAGAAAAGCCATGGTCAGCTTTTATAGCTCTCCTTTTATGTTGTTCTAAATGAATAATAAATGCTCACAGTGCCTTGCCATCTGTACATGTGCAATTTCATATGTCCTCCTGAAGGAAGACTATTCTGTGTAGACTCTTTCTTTGAAGTGCATTGGTACGTTTTCATTTAATGATTTGAAAATTTGTTTTTCAGAAACCAAGGCTAGATTCCCTGGTTAGTATTTTCTCCCCATTTAATGTGCTCCCTGCCGTGGTCAACAAAAAAACTGTCTGGAATGGTCTAATCAGGCTTCACACTATTGAGCTCAGGCCCTGTGAAACAGCTATGTGATCTTGGAGACGTGGCTTTTCTGTACCTTCATTTGCTCATCAAATATGTGCTGCTCAATAAAGGAAGAGGATTAGAGGATTAATTTTTGAATTTCTGCTCCATATCCACCACCTTACCTTTAGATAGCATTTTACATTTTTACATTTCTTTTAAGTGCTTCCACATGTTTTATCTCATGTATGTCTCCAGCAATCTCATGAAACAGTTATGGCTGAATTTCTTTCCTAAATGAGATGGTATAATCAGGATTGTGGAGTTATGTTGGAGCAGAACCAAAGTCCAAACCCAGGTCTTCTGATACTTGACACAGTATTTTCCTTCTCCCTACAACTGTGTGTGATTTACTACATAGCAAAGATATCAAGATAAAAATAGAGGCTAGAATTCTCTACCTGTTGCTATTGATGAATCTAACTGTGAGGTTTTTCTCTTACCAAATAAAAACAATAGCTATAATCTGGATTTGTGTGAAAAAAGCACGTCTGGGGATTTGAATTACTTAGTCCTAAAGTCTGAGAGCTAGAGGAAGGTCTTTCTTGTTAGAGGAATGAAGGCTTTCTTCCAAAACTTCTACTAGTCTTGAGTAGGTAAAAGAATAAATTAGTGACATGTGCCACCTTAGCATAAAATTTCAGAATTTACTTTTGAATGGTTAATTTTGGTGGGGTATTTCTATGATGTCCATTTGTTTATCTGTAGAGCTAAAATGTACCCAGCTACAGTTTTTAAATGTCTTTTAACACATCATCTAAAGAAACACAGTTGTTGTACTCCCAAGGAACAACTAGATTTTTTGAATGTTCTTTCCAAAGCAATAGCAACTTATTCCCATGTTGCTTGTTTTGCCACAGAATGGGTGGAATCCCAAGCCCCACTCTTTGAGGATTCAGGCAGAAAACACTACAAAGTCTGATTATGCTAACTCTGAACATTTGTCCCTTTTTCTGCTATTATACAACAAAACGCTGAACGTTCCATTGTGACTCTCTTAAATCCTCTACAGACTATTTTAAGGTCTAAGGATTTGAATTAATTTAAACTACTCCATTGGCTTATACTGCAACATGGAAGGATCAAATTCTGTTTTGTTCATTTTGCTTAGAGTCTACAGGAAGCTACTTTACTTTCAGACAAAAAAAAAAAAAAAAGCTTCCTGTGCTTTGTAGAGTTACCTGCAAGATGTCAAGTCTGCACTGGCTTTACCAAATGCCAAAATTGTTTTTTTCTTTTCTTTTTTTTTTAAAATTTAATGCAGTACCATTTATCCTTGATAATATTTTTGGTTACAAATGCTCTCCCACCACTGAAGCACTGTTAGTCCACCACAATTCATTATTCTCTCCTTCCCTTACCCCATGCCTCAGATCTATGGTCAGCATTCAAGGGTTGGTTTTTTTTTTTAATTTTTTAAATTATTACAAAAGTTTATTTTTACATCATTTTGCACATTATTTTTTTCCATCTTGATTGTAATCCCCTCGATTGTACATCATTTTGCACATTATTTTTTTCCATCTCGATTTGGTTTCCCATCACCAAATCACCCGTGTGCCACCACCATAGTCCCATATATTTCTCTCCCTTCCCCCCCACCCCCGTTTTTGATCCCATTCCCCACTCCACCCCCACAACATGTCTCTGGTATATGGTTGTTCTTTTTTTCCATCTCGATTGTAATCCCCACAGGTTTCCCATCACCAAATCACCCGTGTGCCACCACCATAGTCCCATATATTTCTCTCCCTTCTCCCCCACCCCCGTTTTTGATCCCATTCCCCACTCCACCCCCACAACATGTCTCTGGTATATGGTTGTTCATTATTTCTGTTATTTTCTCGCCTGGTCCATTATACTCCTGCTATGAGTGAAACCATCCGATATTTTTCT